TGTGTGTGTGTCTGTGTGTGTGTGTGTGTGTGTGTGTGTGTAAGGTGCAAAATTACGTCTTCTGCATCTTTTTTCCTCGCTCTCTCTCTATTTATATAAATATCAATCATATTAAAATATATTTGACGTGGATCGGAGTTGAGTTCATGCAACTATAAAACTTTCACATGGCAATTTGGTTACTATCTTCTTCCTACCCCATTCCCTTAAAAGATTAGGGGGAAGAAGTAAAATGCAAACAGTATCAAGGAAAAAATACAGGACATAGTCCAACTTAATTTACGGTGAAATAGAGTAGATGCATGAGTGCCACTTTTTATGATGCTCAACCAACATTCAGTACCTTGATGCGACCGATCAAGAAGTGCTCCATCAGAATGTCTAACGCGATCCCTATGTCCAAGCCTCCGGGTCAGAGGTTTCAAACCTCCATGTTGGGTTTCATTTTAACAACTTTCAAATTTCTCACAACCATCACTTGCCTCCGATAGCATCGAACGCCGAGCGCAGTCTATTTGGTGACATACTCAACACGTGCCCCCGGCTAACGCAATCTTTGTAGGTCAAACATTTGCTCTTTTTTTTACTACACACCTAGGTGTGATGGACAGCAGACGGGGTAAACCCCATAGTCACGAGCACCTGCTGTTCAGCGATTGAAATCGGCAATCTAAGCCCCGGAACTTGGAGTGGCGAACCACATAAGGCCCCGATAGGTTAGGCGTGGTATTGAACCGGACGACAGCAGAGCTGCCTACCACCAAATTCGGGTGGCGGTGGCGGGGCTCGAACCTAGGACCATAGGGTCCAAAGCACGCAGTTGACAGCGACTAAACCACTGCGCCACCATCACCATCGCTCTAATGCGCGGCCGCGATCACCTAAAACTCTTCGTGGCCTAAGTATTGCTTGTCTAGTTGCCTGTCCAGAGTAGTACAATGTGGCGCAGACACCAGTCTTCGAACTCCGACAGTCTGCATTATCCTATCCCCGTAACGGTCAAGTCTCTATACAAGAGCAGCACCGGGCGAACTACTGCAGGATATAATCGATCGGTCACGGACAACCGAAAATTGCCGCGGCACCATTGATTTATCACGTTGACAAACACTAATGGAGCCTTCTGTGTGTGTCGCAACCCTTTAGCCACCATGCATCCGCTAAGTGAGCTGAAGCTGCCTAAACAATCACAAGTGTATACTCTTTATATCTACTCTCTTGTTGGAGTGAAATTGCAAGCTTGATCTACCCAATGTTGTGACAGCACTTCACACCAGGGAAGTGCAAAATGTGCTACAGTAACACGCCAACCATTCGGAAGAGGTTACAGCTTATTTGGAGCTGTACAGGGTCGTTTGGTACTCCAGGTCAAACCGCCTGCCACCCGGAAACGCATCAAGGCGGTTATCCTCGGTCATCTCCAAACTCTTATCTATGTCAAACTTGAAGGGAAAAGAAGAGAGCTACCCCCAGGAACGCCACGTTCCGTGTGAATTCGGCCAGGAGGAGCCGCAAACTCGAAATGGGTTTTAGCTATTCGTATGAAGGGATCAGCATAGAGAAATGCGCGTTTCAGACACTTCGTTCAAGAAGAAACAGCTTCAAAGTTGCGTACATCTGACTGAATAGAAATCTGCTTTCAGATCGAGGAAGGTAAAAATCGCAGATCTATGGAAGAGATATTAGTGGTGCAAAATCTGGTGAAAATATGATCGATCCATCCTCGATCCAGTTCAAAACCAGCCTGGTTTTCACACAAATAATCACAGATTATAATTTCTGCAAGGAGCTTCTAGGTGATGTCGATCAAATTCATTCCTTCGCGCTTTTTACAGGAGAATTTGTAGCCTTCTTTGTTATTCAGTGCGGTGACGGACTTACACTATTGAACCGGAACTTCCAAGAGCAACGTGAATGGTCAGCGGAGGCCAGAAGGTGTACCATTGATCGGTGTCATCAGACTGAGCTTCATCTGGCCTTTGTTCATTAACTTTTCGGGAGTGACTGAATCTGCACTGAGGAGCCGTCCAGTTTAACTAGTAGGGTCATGGATCCGTCCAAGTTATCACATTCCGTCAGTTTTTAGTCTGGTCGTCATGCCAAACCGTCACAAGTTCAATCGAAAACGAACTGAGATCAATTGCCACCACTTTTCTACTGCATAGGTTGTTAACACTTGTCGATCAATTTTACGTGACTATGTGTGACAATACACCTTGTCAATTTCAATTGACAAGCGTGATAACTAGTGAAATATTAAGCATCCTCACCCTTACGAGTTCAGTTCAAATCCTAGTTGATATAGTTCTCGAAGTTCCATCCAAGTCCGATTTGTCACTTGTTTTGGAGTAAATACCGTTGCCAAATTGTTCACATGTTCTACGGTCCCACAGAACACAGGATGAGCATATAACATATACTCCGACCGTTCTTTTTCCTGTATCGGTATGACTAGTATCTCACACCAAGGTTTGTTATTTTATTATCGGTTGAAAGCCTTGGGTATTGTCTTTTCAGTTGCGTTCTTTTCGTGGTACCTTAATCAATTCATATTTCTTGCCAACTTTCCGCACGTCAACCCACTCAGAACTGCGTCACTGTCTCGTTCGATAAAAGTACTTCTTGGATTGTTTGGCTATTCATCGTGAGACGTTTTATTCTGTTTTCCATAAATTCATCATTCCCATTGGGATTTCGATTACGTCACCTCAAAGTGCAACAGTAGAGTTTATGGCATTAATCTAACACGTCTTCTTGTCGGTTTGGTATATGGGAAAACTGACCTTTCCAATGCAATTCGCGCTCACCAATCAGTAACCGATGCGTTTTGTGCTGTGCTTGACACTCCGATTATTTTTACCCCTGTCTCTCTACGGATAGGCTTGATTCTGTAGTTGCGATTCATCTTTCTCTCTCTCTCTCGTTTATTTATGTGTGTTTCAGTTTCAGTTTGTACAACCATTAATGGTGCACTTTTCTGCATCGGTTTGGGTTACTGTCTTTTACCAGCCGGTTTGGATGAAGCATTAGGAGAAAGACAGGAAGGTTGCAAAGAAATTGGGAAGACGCACGAACTAAATTGTTTGCGACACTCAGCCAGATCACTCATTGTATCTAACAGTCGGTTGCGATCATTCCGAGGTCCCCATCCAGGAAGCCTAACACAACCTTTATGACCTGGTCTCCTGGTTGGGGATTTCACACCCTCATGCCAGATCTTAGCTTGACCACCCTTGACTTGATGGAGGCTCAGCGTTAGTCTTGGAGTTGACAAAACTCCTGGGCTCAATATGGGAAAGACCCGGTCGAGGTTGTATCGACCACATCTTCACTCTGCGCCAAATTCTGG